GGAGGCAGTGAAGGACAGGAAGGCCTGGCGCAATATGGTTCATGGGGTCACGAAGAGTCGGACACGACTTAACGACTAAACAACAACAACAATACATGTTAAATTTAACATGTAATATGTTTAAAATTAGCACTTTTATCCTGGGAAAATCATCCTTTTAAAATAAATTATTGTAAATACTCATCCATTCTTCCTTCCCTATTTTCCATGGAGTTAAATTTTGTACCTGAAAAGAAATGGGCTGGTGCTGGTAGGCAAAAACAAGCAAAGAGAAGGTTTTGCCCTGAACCCTACTTCAATAAAGATATGACTGATTATTGCACAATACCTGACATCAGTCTAACTGAAGAGATGTTGTATAAATATTCAGCAAACAGACCAAAACTTTGAGTTCCATAAATACTTTATGTAAACAATGTCTGGAAAAAAATATTCATGGACCTAATGCATGTATTGCACCACCCAAATGTATTTTTGCATAATAGTTCCAGTAATTAGTTCATTACATATGCTTTTCTTCCAGCAATTCTGAGCTTCCTCAATTCCAGATTATGAAAAAACTGTGGAAATTATAACCTAAACTCATAAACCAATAAATTGCAAAAAGCAGATGTAAATGTGTAACATTAAATTCATCATGACAACATACTGCTGGATATTTTGCAGAGAAGCTCAAATCAGTGAAACTGTTTACCATGCAAATCCACTGAGAAGAATTAATTGCTAAATAAATTATATTCCATGAATGTATACAGAGATGCTGATGACAGTGATGATGATGATGATGATAATGTATATGCTGCCTGACTCCCAGCAACTCTGGATGGTTTACAAATTGTTAAAACATTTAAAAGTAAGGAAACAACAAGAAAACAAAAAATAAAGAGTAAAGGTGGCAAATATGACAAAACTGGAGGGGAACAAAGAAAAAAACAACTCCCACAATCTAGAGGGGGTTTCAATCACCCTTGCCAAAGGCTGGCCAACAAGTCAGTCTTCAGGCCCCTTTGAAACACCAGTAGGGTGAGGGCTGTTCAAATCTCAAGGGGAACCTTCCAGAGGGCATATTCTAAAGCACCTGAGAACATCAAATGCCTTAAGACAATCAGTGATTCATGGAAGCTGGCAGAAATGACTGAGGCCTTATGTACCCGATTGCTTTTTATCCAGCTGGCCTCCAGGAACTCCCAGCAGGTCACGCCTTTCTCTCTAAAACTGGCTGACCTAAGGAAAGTTGGCCAGCCTGTCTTAACTGTGCTCTGGACTATCTAGTACACCAGAAAGTAAATTCTCAAGAGGAACACAACATTTCAGTGCCAAAGAATGTTAGCTGGGATTCAGTTAACAGGGGATCATATTATACGTATAAAATCTATGCTCACATGTCATGTTTCTTCTTACCACTGTGCTAATATATTTAGACTCTGGAAAAGTTATAAAGAAGTGAATATACTGTACCTTTAAAGTTTGTATCATTCATCTCAAGTCCAAACTGTTATCTGATTCATATAGTTTTTGATATGGTAGTTCAGCTCTGGAATTTGGCCCTGATCCAGTTTACATACATTTTTGTTAATCCTGATTTAGTTCTTTGAACTAGTTTACCTTGAATGCTTATATGATTTTACTTTTTGCTTTAAAAACATTTTTTATAAAAGTAGGGAAAGGTTTAAAATGATCATGTTCTATTTTTCCTATAGTTGGTAAGAAACTATAATAAAAACTACATGTACATAGGAACACAAAAACAGTTTTACAGTTTCCCAGATTGGGTATCAAATAGGGTGAGAACTTTAAGAATTGCTCTGTGTGCAATTCCATTTAGTTTAGCTGATGTTAAACCAGTTGCTAAACAATGGATGGCTGTGGCCTACACCATTAAATTTTATACTGTGGCTGAACCTCAACATAATATTTAACTGGTTCTTGACTATCAAAAAATTTATTAGGCAAGCAAAAGAAACAACTTATAACTCTCAAAACAGAAGAAAGAACATTTATAATAACACAGATATAAAATACCTTGTGGAATTCCACTATTCTTCATCTGGGGTTCAACCACCTGAATTGTGTCATCTTCAAGATAGAAATATATTTTACAATGTCTTATTCTGTATAGCTCTTGATTTTTGTCAGGAACTTCTTCATCAAAATACGCATCAAAAGACAATACCTATATAAAAAGCACAGATTGACCACCCCCAAAATCAGTTCAACTCTGTTGTAAGCAAGAATTTAAATGAACCAAAAAAAAAGCTATATATATATACATGTGTACAAAGCAATATATATATACATGTGATGGAAAAGTTGGATTCCAACAAAGAACTATACCATTTTGTATTTAATTATGGAAATATTTTAAATTAGTTTTACTGATCTTTTATGTGATCATAACCCTTGAAGTGATTAGATTATACAATAAATTACTTATCCAGGTTCTTACATTCAGATTTACACAAATAACATAGGAATGTCACTCATGAACATGGTTGAACAAACCAAAGTTATGTTCTTATAGTTTTATAGTCTGTAAGTTCTGCATGTTAATAATATATATGTTTTAGTTTGAAAAAAAGTAGTGTTGGTCCAGTTTATGAACAACAGTTCCAAAATAATATCACATTAGTATTATTAGAACATAATGCTAAACTGATAACTGTACAAGTGTATAGTGTAAATGTAATGGATTACTATAGGATACATGTGAGTGTTCCTTTTTTTAATACTAATTTTATTAAAAATTACAATTACAAAAATAAAAACTAATACAAACTAAAAAAAGAAAACAATAAAAAGAAAAATAGTGCAGAAAAGAAAAAAAGAAAAAGAAAAATAGAAAAGAAAGAAAAATAATATAGTAAAGAGAAAGAAAAGAAATATATAAAGAAATGACTTCCCCATTCATCACGTATAAACAATTTTAGTAACTTATCACCTTCTCTTAAAATACAACAAATTATCTCTTCTTCCCATATCCCATCTCTTATCTATAAACAAATTCTTATAGCCTCATCGTTTCAGTCTTGATCAGCATAAGTTCATTAAAGGTTACCAGAGACAACAACATATCTATTTTAACCTTGACCAAATAAACCAACTTTATATTCCTTCCTTTTACTT